GAAAACCTGGTCTTATTAGGAGAGACGGCATTCACCCCACTTTGGATGGAGCTGCTCTCATTTCTAGGAACCTGGCAAATTTTATTAGTAATTTAAATCCCTGACAACCCAGAGTTGAGACCAGGACAGAGAGTTGCAGTCCTAAACGCCTCTCTGAGCTTCTAGTTCAGTTACCCAGCCATAGTTTTCATAGTTTTATACAAACGGTGTCTGTCCCCCGACCACCTAAATTATTTAAATCTAAAATTAAACAAAGAGGAGTTGTGCATAACAACCTCATAAAAATTAAAACCTCTTCTGTGACAGAAAGACAAAACAGGAGAATTAAATGCGGACTGTTAAATATCAGGTCTCTATCGTCTAAAGCAGTGTTAGTAAACGAATTAATATCAGATAATCATATTGATTTACTCAGTCTCACTGAAACCTGGCTGTGTCAAGATGAATATGTTAGTCTAAATGAGTCCACTCCTCCCAGTCATAATAATACCCACATTCCTCGAGGCAGCGGCCGAGGAGGGGGAGTTGCAGCCATTTTTAACTCTAGTCTGTTAATCAGCCCTAAACCTAAACTAGATTATAATTCATTTGAAAGCCTCGTTCTTAGTGTTTTACATCCGACCTGGAAAACCTCGCAGCCACTTTTATTTGTTATAGTGTACCGTGCTCCTGGCCCGTATTCTGAATTTGTATCTGAATTCTCAGAGTTTTTATCCAGTTTAGTTCTTAAATCAGATAAAGTTATTATTGTAGGCGATTTTAACATTCATGTCGACGTTGATAATGACTCCCTGGCTACCGCGTTTATCTCATTAATAGACTCCATTGGCTTCAGTCAGGGTGTACATGAACCCACTCACTGTTTTAACCATACCCTCGATCTAGTTCTGACGTATGGAATTGAAATTGATAACCTAAAAGTCTTTCCACAGAATCCCTTGCTATCAGATCATTATCTGATTACTTTTGATTTCTTTTTACTCGATTACACGCCACTCAGCAACAGTTACTATACTAGATGTTTATCAGATAGTGCTGTCACAAAATTTAAGGAAAAGATTACTTCGTCGTTAAATTCAATACCAATACCTTCAGTAACAGAGGTTTCCCGTGCCGACTTTAACCTCTCCCAAATTGATCATTTTGTTGATAGCGCCGTAGGCTCGCTGCGAACAACGCTCGACTCTGTAGCTCCTCTTAAAAAGAAGTTAACAAAGCAAAGAAAGTTTGCTCCTTGGTATAACTCTCAAACCCGTAGGTTAAAACAAATATCGCGAAAATTTGAAAGGAATTGGCGATTAACCAAACTGGAAGAATCTCGTTTAATCTGGACAGACAGTCTCAAAACTTATAAGAGGGGCCTCCGCAATGCCAGAGCAAACTATTACTCAGCATTAATAGAAGAAAACAAGAACAACCCCAGGTTTCTTTTCAGCACTGTAGCCAGGCTGACTGAGAGTCAAAGCTCTATTGAGCCTTGTATTCCTTTAGCCCTTAGCAGTAATGATTTTATGAGCTTTTTTAATGACAAAATTCTAACTATTAGAGGCAAAATTCATGACCTCCTGCCCTCAGATGGTAGGCCTACCTATCTAACCTCAAACACAGCTGTAGAATCTAATATATATTTAGATTGCTTCTCCCCAATTTCTCTTCAAGAATTGACCGCAGTGATTTCTTCATCTAAATCATCAACGTGTCTCTTAGACCCCATCCCAACTAGGCTACTTAAGGAGGTCTTTCCTTTAGTTAACACTCATATATTAGATATGATCAATATATCCCTATTAACAGGCTATGTACCACAGTCTTTTAAGGTAGCTGTAATTAAACCTCTCCTAAAAAAGCCCACCCTGGATCCAGAGGTGTTAGCCAACTATAGACCAATATCTAATCTTCCCTTTATGTCAAAGATCCTTGAGAAAGTAGTCGCAGACCAGCTGTGTGATTTTCTCCAGGATAATAATTTATTTGAGGAATTTCAGTCAGGATTTAGAGTGCATCATAGCACTGAGACAGCTCTAGTTAAAATTACAAATGACCTTCTGATTGCTTCAGACAAAGGACTCGTCTCTGTTCTTGTTTTATTAGATCTTAGTGCGGCGTTTGACACAATTGACCATCAAATTCTACTGCAGAGACTGGATCACTTAATTGGCCTAAAAGGTTCAGCACTAAGCTGGTTTAAATCTTATTTATCTGATCGTTTTCAATTTGTTGACGTTCGTAATGAATCATCCTTACGTACCAAAGTTTGTTTTGGAGTTCCGCAAGGTTCTGTGCTCGGACCAATCCTATTTACTCTATATATGCTTCCTTTAGGTAACATCATTAGAAATCACTCTATAAATTTCCATTGTTATGCGGATGATACACAGTTGTATTTATCGATGAAGCCAGAAGAAAGTAATCAATTAACTAAACTCCATAACTGCCTTAAAGACATAAAAAATTGGATGAGCACCAATTTCCTGATGTTAAATTCAGACAAAACTGAAGTTATTGTTCTTGGCCCCAAACAACTCAGAGACTCTTTATCTGATGACATAGTTTCTCTAGATGGCATTGCTCTGGCCTCTAGCACTACCGTAAGAAACCTCGGAGTAATATTTGATCAAGATTTGTCTTTTAATTCTCATTTAAAGCAAACCTCACGGACTGCATTTTTTCATCTGCGTAATATTGCGAAAATTAGGCCTATCCTGACCCGAAAAGATGCAGAAAAATTGGTCCACGCTTTTGTTACCTCAAGGCTGGATTACTGTAACTCTCTATTATCAGGTAGCTCTAGTAAGTCCTTAAAAACTCTCCAGCTAATTCAGAATGCAGCAGCACGTGTACTAACAGGAACTAAGAAACGAGATCATATTTCTCCTGTTTTAGCTTCTCTGCACTGGCTCCCTGTAAAATCCAGAATTGAATTTAAAATCCTACTGTTAACTTATAAAGCTCTAAATGGTCAAGCTCCGTCATATCTTAGAGAGCTCATAGTGCCATATTATCCCACCAGAACACTGCGCTCTGAGAACGCAGGGTTACTCGTGGTCCCTAAAGTCTCCAAAAGTAGATCAGGAGCCAGAGCCTTCAGCTATCAGGCTCCTCTCCTGTGGAATCATCTTCCTGTTACGGTCCGGGAGGCAGACACCGTCTCCACATTTAAGACTAGACTTAAGACTTTCCTCTTTGATAAAGCTTATAGTTAGGGCTGGCTCAGGCTTGCCCTGTACCAGCCCCTAGTTAGGCTGACTTAGGCCTAGTCTGCCGGAGGACCCCCTATAATACACCGGGCTCCCTCTCTCTCCCTCTCTCTCTCTCTCTCTCTCTCTCTCTCTCTCTCTCTCTCTCTCGTATTCTATTACTGCATCTTGCTAACTCGGCCATTCTGGATGTCACTAACTCGGCTTCTTCTCCGGAGCCTTTGTGCTCCACTGTCTCTCAGATTAACTCATATCACAGCGGTGCCTGGACAGCGTGACGTGTGTGGTTGTGCTGCTGCCGTGGTCCTGCCAGATGCCTCCTGCTGCTGCTGCCATCATTAGTCATTAGTCATACTTCTACTGTTATTATACACATGATTATTGTCACACATGTATACTGCCAGATATTAATACATACTTTCACCATATTGTACCACAGTAGCCAGAACTATAACTATAATATTATTACTTTCAATAATGTTGTTGTAAGCTACTGTCATTACCTGCATATCTCTCTCTCTCTCTCTCTCTCTCTCTCTCTCTCTCCCTGTCTCATTGTGTCATGCGGATTACTGTTAATTTATTATGCTGATCTGTTCTGTACAACATCTGTTGCACGTCTGTCTGTCCTGGAAGAGGGATCCCTCCTAAGTTGCTCTTCCTGAGGTTTCTACCGTTTTTTTTCCCCGTTGAAGGGGTTTTTTTGGGGAGTTTTTCCTTATCCGCTGCAAGGGTCATAAGGACAGAGGGATGTCGTATGCTGTAAAGCCCTGTGAGGCAAATTGTGATTTGTGATATTGGGTTTTATAAATAAAATTGAAAATTGAATTGAATTTGAAAATGCTTGTTTTTGCAATAGAATTGAACTATTATGGCAAAACTGATAATCTGTGCTCTGGTTTATCAGCAAAATACTGAAGGATGATTCTCAGAATCAAAACCAATGACAACAGCCCTAGTTCTTTACCAGAGGCATTAGTTAAGGTTAGCTACTTTATTAAGGAAGAAAAACAAATTAAAATGATGTTGAAAAAAGAGCTTATTGACACATTTTGACATATTCCAGTATTCAAATATTCTCAGTTTCATTATTGTCTTGATGTCACACACCACAAAACACAGGAACAATTGCAGGACAAAAATGATTTATTTTGCGTTTTCACACAACAGTCACCACACAAATAACAAATGAACTAAAAGTCTGAGGAAGAGCTTTGTGCTGGAAACATCACACAGGAAAACGAGGTATTTGATCTGGCTCCATTTTGTTGGTTCTGGGATATGTGCATGCATGTCATTTTCACAGCTTATTATTGGACTGTCACTGGTGGCCTGCGTTGTGGGTGAGAATGACAGAGATGCAATTCCGACAACTTCAGGCAGCCGCCGTCCAAAAGTCCAAGCAGACCGCACCAAGCGCACTTCTTGATCGCCTGAACGGATCCTGCGCTTTTTATCTAGCACCCCTGCTGTCACCCTCCAGCATCTGCAGCTCAGGTTACACTGTGCATGTGCAATCCCCCCATGTTTGACCCCGTGTCTCAGCCTTCTCTTGAATAGCCTTGGTTTGAAAATAAGGTGGATAGGATATGATGTAATGCTATATGATTCATATAGAGCTTTGAGGAAAAATCGGCATAATGAATCCATCGAACAACACTCATGTTCAATAAATTGCAATACCCTGTCATTCTTTTTCGTCAGATTTCGAGGGACTTGTCTTTCACATGTATTCTGGTATAAAGTGTCAAACATCATCTTCTCATTTACTGCTCTGTACATGTCCATTCCCTTCTGTCCCAGTACGGTCTGAGGCACCACCAGGTCCGCCCCAGAACATCCATGTTGATAACTGGCTGCTGTCATGGACCCCTGCCACCAAGGAGGAAGATGTCACCTACACCGTTCAGTACAGCAGGTGAGCTCTGATGGTTATGGCGCCTGTTGCAACATGTGAATCAATAACCTGCATGAAAAAAAATCTGAAAGGTTCCTCTTGTCTGGTCATATGACAGAAAATTGTTGCATCATCCTTTCCTCTTTATGTTTGCTTAGATGGTGTGTGTGTGGAGACAGCTCACAGACAGTATTTTGGCTAGTAAAAAAATGTATTTCCATTTTAATCTATCTGTAAGCAAATGTGTTACACATTGTAAATATGGTTATTGACATCATGACAGATTCTGGACTGATGTAAGTCTCCTGTTCTGGTCCACAGCTTTGACAGCCGCGTGTGGACAGATGTACCAGCCTGCATCCATATATCATCCGATTCCTGTGATGTCAGTTCCACTAAAGCCTTGGGCGAGCACGGCTGTGTTATGCTGCGTGTACAAGCAGAGAAGAAACATGGGCTGACCTCGAAACCAGTCAAGGCCTGTAGCAGACATGGTAAGAAACTATGAGCTAACATGTGCATCAGTCTGATAACGATGTGCTCTTACTGGCAGCAGTTTAGTTTATGTTGTAGTTTGCACAAGAAGCTCTGAATGTATGCATGTGTTGATGCTGTGGTATCGTCTAAATGTAGCACTAAGGAGACTCTCATATTGCTACAGTTGTGAAAATCCAGCATGTTACCCAGTTGTGAGTGGTCTGAGTGGTTAATACTACAAACTAATACAGGAAATTTGTGGTTTCAGCCTCTGACCAGATAACATCTACTGTCTGTTTACTGGATCTGCCTCCATATTTTATATACATATCCGCTTGCTACACTGGATCTCTTTATTCGCTGTTGCCCCCAGAGGCTTATTGTCCCTAGACCACTAGCCAATGGGTTTGGAGATTAGGTGTTAACCACCCTAACCATGGTGTGAACCACATAGTTTGAAGTGTCCAATTCTTAACACCCATAGCAAGTTTTCATAACTTTGACATATCATCGTGCTAGATTGATTTGTCAGTTGAGGTTTGGGTATTTGCGATGTGTTTTAGGTCTGAAAAGTTGGTGGTGGTCAGTCAAGGTCTCACGCCTACTGTAACAAAAGAGAACAGATAGCGTAAATCTTAGCTGATTTAGTTAATACTCAATATATTTGTTGTGCTCTTCCAGGTGACTCCTGCACTCCTGACTTCAGTCTGACTGCAGGGCCCGGCTCCCTGACTGTACATTTGAGTAGAAACCACAGTTTGGCTCTGAAACATGAAGACCATGCAAAATACAGGGTTTATTATGGCAAGGAAGGAGAGCCCCTTAAGGTGAGAAACCTTCTTAGTGTAGCAGATACACATGCTGTTACTTCCTGTTTAGTGTGTACTGTAGGTGATCCAAGACTATGTTCTAACTAATCTGGTTCATTTTGGAATACTGTTCGGGTGTTTGACACCAGTATTGTCAGGTCAGTTTTGTTCCCATCTCCTTGCACGTTCAACAAAAAGCCAGATCTCTAATTCTTCTTCTTCTTCCTGTCATGCTCAGCAAACAACAAAAGTGTTGAACACAGCTAACATGTGACCAGCAATGGGACAGACAGACAGGACAGGTCACTCTGCTGAGTCTCAGCTGGTTAAACCTTGTGCCTATGTACGTGTATACTGTGTTTTATAATACAGCCAAATACACAATGACAGATAACCAAATGATAACTATTGTCTTGATGGTGGCTCATAGATGCTACCTGTTTACCAGGCTGACAAATCACTAGATATATCAAAGATATACGTTTCTTCCCTGTTCCAAAACCAAAATCAAACCCTGAAAAGTGTAGGGTTAGCTAGCTAGCTACTGAAGATATAGCCTACTGAATGTATACACATGCTGCTTTTGCTTTTTAATGATTATAACAGTGAAAAAAAGGCCGACCCTACTGTACAGGAACCAGTGAAGGGAAGCAGGGAAAATTTGCTGATATTCAACCAGCTGTGTGTTATCGCATTGTGCGCAGATGAATGTTGTTTGACTTCTTCCGCAGCCCCTCGACAGTCCAGCTGCCAGTCTGGGTGCTGGGAGCGGCATGGGGGTGCAGCTAAACACTTGTTCATCTGCACACACTGTGTTACCTTGATTTTGTGGCTGTGTCAGTCTGACATCCTGAATATATCCTTCAAATGCATATTGTAGAAATTTGAGAGTATTTCTCCAGGGAGTGCAGTTAGCGACAGTGGGAGCGCCATGCCAGTCTAGCTCCGAAACCGAAAGTTTGTCGTACTAAGCAACAGTAAATAAGGGGGGCAGGCTTTAGCGAAGGGTGAATTGTAAAGTCAGCTGACAAACTAAAAATTACAAATTAATGTCAACAGCTGTATTGACTAAAACAATTGATCCCAGCCAGACATGCAGTTCATGGTCAATGCCCTCTACCCCAGGCCACCATGGCACCCCAAATGATGTTCTTTGTTTGTCAGCAATACCAGCTGTGTGTGGACAGAAGGCCAAAATGCAGAGGAAAAGATGCACTTTCCAACTTATCTGGCTCAGTATGGACCTGCCACAATTCCTAAAGTTGGTGTAATTTTTAATTCATCATATCCCAACTTGACCCGTAATTGTACATATATTTAGCAGATTGATGGATGGTTCCATTCTTTAGATATTAGAATAAGCTGACTATACGGGCTAAAATAATTTTAATGTTTATTTAAATGGTCTGGTGGGTTTGCACATGTGATTTTGATGCATTTTCTGGTTAAATAAAAAGGATCTTGCTCTTGAACATTAATATCTATCTCTGTAGAGATCCTTTCCATTATAGTTTTAGACACTTATAATCTCAACAAACAATCTGAGCATGTCAGTGGTACAAACAAGCAATTTTAGTGGAAGAACACTGATGATGCAAACATATCCTCAATGGTTACATTGCAGCCTGTTTCACCGCTGTTGGCTGCAATATTGCTCAATACTGGACCAATTTCAAAAACTGTTACCCTTTAAGGGAAGAAGAAATATTGGCCTTTTATCTGTTATGTATTAATGTCTTCCAGACTCTGCTGGTGGTCCATCATGATAAGAGTATGCATGTAAAATATGACCTTCCACTCTTCAACAGAGTTATAGAGATGATGTTGCCTCAGTGACCATCCGTGAGCTGCAGGAGGGACAGCGTTACTGTACAAAAGTGGAGTATATCTACTTCGATGTGAGCGTCGGACCACCCACCTGTACCCAGTGTGAGGTCATCCCTGAGTCAAGTAAGGCTCATTTGTAGTTGCTGCTGCTGTTAAGAAAGTTTTTCAACCAGGCAAAAAGAACAAAAATACTGTTGATACATTAAAGAACCAAATTGGCTATGTTGCTGGTTTTGGCTTTGACTGTTTTCCAAAATGCACACAAGTTTCTAATCTGACTCCCTATCCTCCTGACAGCCAGTGGTTTCAGTTGGAGTGCAGTAAGAAAATCAGTTATACGTTTATGACACCCATCACAGTAAACAGTTATTACCTTGTTGCATGGTTATGCAGTCTGCCATGGTGCAGTGCAGAGCATTGACATCCAAAATTTGTCAGCTGAAAAAAAGCATTAGGACATCCAATGTTTGTATAATGATAAGGATGATTTCAGTTTACTTAGTGATTTCTTGAAGTACAGTAGGTTGTGGCCATAGACTGTATGAAATAATCATCGTAGCCGCTGTGACTTCTCCCATCAGTTTTTGGTCTCCTGTTTTGAAGCCTTGAATTTGGCTTTTTATCAATCATCATCTTGATTTTTTGGAGACAGAAGTGTCCATATTGGGACAAAAAGGTCGAATTAACTATAACACTAGCTGCTAGCTTGGTTAGCACAGTGCACAGCTATGGTTAACTGGGATAATGCTGTTGCTAATTTGCACTAGCAAAAATTAGGCTTAAAACCTTAAAACAAAATGCACTCATTGGAAGAAGTGAACATACGACTTCTTCAAAGGTCTTTTTGTACAACCAAACGCTGAACCAGACTTTTATAGATTATAGATATTTTATATATAACACACTGAACTAGTGACTTCCTGGAACGCACCAGAAAAGAAGAGTTTTATACAATCCATGCAGATGTTATGAGGATTTGTATTATTACAGTCTTTAATCAAAAGTGAAGCTGATTACATGTTCATCATGATGGAACACTGAATAATGCTAGCTTGTATTTGAGTTCCACAGTCAGAAACAAATCATGGGAAATTCCACTTTCTCTTTTGAGTATGGTGTACTCACTGTTGTGGGCTTGACATGTGGCTCTGTACACTTAGTAGCAGCTTGTATTTACAGCAAAAAGAAAGAAAAACTAACACATTGTCCATGTAAATATCTCAAACCACTCCTGCAGTATAATTCTTTAATTCTTTTCAAAGTTGCTTTTTAAGTCTTAAAACTCATAAATCCTCTGAAATCAGAACATCGTAAGAGTTGTAATGGAATTCCTGTCTCGTGTGTGTGTGTGTGTGTGTGTGTGTGTGTGTGTGTGTGTGTGTCTGTGTGTCTGTGTGTGTGTGTCCTGTACATTTCCCAGAAAAAGATTCAAAACTAACAGAAACAGTAGTAGCTGTGGTGCTTGTCAGCGTCCTGCTCATTACGTTCATCGCGTACCTCCTCATCTTTCAACGTGGGAGGATCAAACAGTGGCTGCAACCTCCATACCAGATCCCAGACAACGTGAGCACTAACATGGATAAACACATTTACCGCACACCCACTAGGTCACACTGTGTACATGTACTAGATGTATCAGACTGTAAGTTAGGTAAGGATCTGTAGGACTATTTCATTGACTTTTGACCAGGATGAGAAGGCAGTCAGTGTTTCACTATCAGATCGTTGTGAATATTAATGTAGCTGAAGAAGGTGAGAAACATAAGGATTTATTTACAGTCATGTACTGGAGTAATGCAGAATGATAAAGTTCGACTAGGTGGGCCATGCAGAATCAAATTTTCAGAGATTTAATTTGTTCCATTTCAAGTTTTGTCTCTTAACTTCAGCTTGCCATTGCTGGGTATAATAAATACATTAAAAAGTGTTGGTCCTGATCAGTTCACACAGTTGGGAACACAATTAGGCCATGTTTATGAGGTGGTGATGTGACCTGACACCACCACAGATATTAGATTAAAAAGACCACCTTCAGTGCAAAGTACCCTTCACTGTTAACTAGCTTTCAGCTAGCCACTAGCTTTCTTTGTGTTGCAGTAGCTGTGGTGAAAATGTAAGAGATCCAATGCCAACTGAGATATGAGTGTTAGCTGAATTCTTCACTGACAATATCTTAAGGAGCTGATACTTGATTTGTTGGTCAGAAATCTAATGTATCATCATAAAATAAAACATATCTTTCACCCCAGCTATGTAATATATATTTTATCAATAATATTTGGAATCAGCTTGTTTTACAATAATAGGCCCATGTAATGGTTGGCATAGTATAAACACATAGCAAAGCACAAATGCAAACCCATCGTGACCAATCACCATAACTTTTACAGCACAACAAGCTAATCCTGGCACTGTGCAGGAGAACTGATGGAGCTCATTAGTGCCACTAATTAGTGCAGTCAATGTTTGTCAGACTGCTGTAGACAAAGGCTCTTAGTTTCTGCTCGCTGTATGTTGTATTGTGAAACTGGTCAGATATGTGCTTAAATGTAGCAGCAGATGTCAATCTGTGCAATGTGACACACTCCCACTCCCCGTGTGGACAGGAAGTTAATGACAACATTTCAGAGTCGGAGCACCTTTTTGTTGCTGAATCAAATAACGTCAATTTAAACACAGGAAATAGACCTGCTGACAACTTTAAGTACAGATGATGTCCCCCATGCAGTTATTCACAGTGCGCATTATGTCTACAGTATCATCAAGGTAACTGTTTTATTTAAATAAGGTTGACTTTTTTTTCTGCTCTAGTTTCTGCTGAAGCCTGAGCACCACCTTCCCATCTCCACCAGCATTCCCACTGAGGAGCACTGGGATGTAATTTCCTGCATTTCCCCAGAGGAGTCCAGAGAATGAAAGCCACTGTCCTCTCTGCCTCTGCACTACACTCTGGCCTTCTCACTCTGCTGTTGTGGAGATCAGATCTGTCGATTGAGCTGCTGGGAGATACACTCTGCAACCTGCTGTCCTGAAGCCATACGTTTTGCTGAGATGGATTCGACTCATGATAAATGACAACTTGTCAAGTCAAAACTTAATAGCTGAGAAGAGGAGGTCTGATTTGATCTAGATTTAGCTTTCGCTCTGGGAGAGAAAAGGGAGTTATAAAACGACTGAGCCACTCTCTAGACCACTAGCTTTAATAGGCTCCACACTGTGTTACTATCCCCACTCTCATTTGGTTTCATATGCAGGGTCCGACGTTAAGGTTTTTTCCTACTTGCCCTGCTGGGTAAGTACTTCTCAAATCTACTTGCCCCATCTAAATTCTTACTTGCCCTGCATAAGAGGTTCTTTTTCTGGCTGTGTGGTGCATATATTAGATCATAACTTATATCTTACGTCAGCAGAGACGCTCAGCCAATGGAGGCAGCAGCACATAAAAAAGCAGCACACTGCAACTGGCCCCTCCGAGGACAGAAACAGGAGAGGAAATACAGGCCTGGAGTTAAGATATTTTTAGGGCAAGGCCACTTTGGCCTTTGATAAATACAAATTTATTGGGGCGTCACAGCCAAAATGTGAGGCACCAAGGCCAAAACCAATGGCGCAATAACAATATGTGCTAACTACATTGAATGAAGACAAAACAATATATGTGTTGAAAAACAGTACTGAGTTTATTAAAACTGGATGTGCATGACTGGGGATATATCTCGTTTCTTGTTGTTTTGATTCATGTCCCTTATTTTTTAAGTCTTTGAAATCTCTTTATTCTTTTGTTATCTCCTAGTTATTAAGAAATTATTATTAGAAGAAGATTCTTTATTGTCCTTTCTCAGCACATTACATACATTGAAACGAAATTTGACCTCTGCATTTGACCCATCCTACTGTATACACTAGGAGCAGTGGGCAGCCGCAGTGCAGCGTCCAGGGACCAACTCCAGTTCTTTTGCCAGTGCCAGTGGCCAGGGTCACTGACAGGAGTATTCACCTAACATAGCCTACATATCTTTAATTATATAATTATTTATATGTCTCTATGTATATTTTTACATAAATCCCCAATATTTAATTTGCCTTTAAAAAAAATCCTCTTCCTTCATTTAATTTGACAATATTTATTGTATTGTGTTATATGTATTAATTCTCTACAGGGTCTTGTATGTTCTTTAATGTGTGTTCAATTTATTAAAAGAAAAAACAAAACGTTTTGGTGATCCCTGCAGCAAAGTGAACCCTCTTCTTCAGAGAGGATCTTTGCCTCCCAGTTTGTTCCTGGCGGCAGAGCAGAGTGAACCATCTTTCTTCTCAGAGGATCTTTGTCCCATGAGAGCAGGCAGCATGCTCTCCGTGTCCGCATTTAAAACATCTTTCGCTGGCGATTTGACAGTCACTAGAAGCACATTATGACCTTTTGTAAAAGTTTCTGTGTGGTACCTGTGTTGTACATGAGCTAACGTTAGCGGCTAAGGACTGAGAGGCTGTCCGGTATGTATGTGTGTGTGTGTGTGTGTGTGTCCGAGTCGGTGCTGCTTGCCCGATCGGGCATGTCTGCACAGGGTCCGCTGGCCCACCGGCTATTTTTACTTGCCCCGGCCATTCGGGCAACCGTTAATGTCGGACCCTGATATGGTGCAAGAACTCCAGGAAATTACAGTCAGAGCACATGTAATAGAAACAGTGAGGTTTCAAAGTTGAGGAGTTTCACAGGAAAGTGTGTGTGCCAGATTTAGCAAAGTAACCAGATAAGGGCCATGCTTGGAAGCAGTTTTGCACTTTTTTTATAAGCATCTGTCTGTAAAATGCTTCATATCTCCAGGAGACGATTTTATGTCCACTTTGCCCCGTCGACCTGTGGAGAGCCACAGTCAATATAGGGGCCGTTTACACGACAAAGATTTCAGTAAAACCGGAAAAGTCTGTCCTTTGCGTTTTAAAAAACTTCTGCGTTATATTAGGACGTTATTGAAACGATCCCTGAACCATAATGCGCATGTGCGAAAAGTCCGTTTTCTGAGGAACTGCATATTGCACATTTACATGGCAAAAGAGACACTGCCGTTTCCAAAACGTTGCACTCTGGAACCCGTTTTCAAATCATTGCGTTTTCAGGCACCCAAAACGCCGCTGTCGTGTAAACGATCGGCCTAAATGCAACTAAGGTTTACCATTTTCAGTTGAAATCGTTGTCGTATAAACGGGGCCATAAATTAGCTCATTAGAAACAGTTGGGCCCCGGTGCAGACAGCAATCACACAGGATCTGTGTGGTCTCATCCCACATACACGTTTACTTGACACTAGTTTTAGGGAAGATCAGCATAGGTCCTTCTTTTAAGTCAAGAATACTGCAGATCTTACTATATAATGACAAAAACTGTCTGTCTGTGGGTGTGTCTGTTCCATGTTTTTCTCCTCACTGACTTGGTCAATCCATGTGAAATTTGGCACAGTGGTAGAGGGTCATGGGAGGATGAGAATGAAGCAATATTACATCAATTGGCCAAAGGGGGGCGCTATAGCAACCGATTGAAATTGCAAACTTTGAATGGGCATATCTCATGCCCCATATGTCATACAGACATGGGAATTTGCACAGCCTCTCCTCATGATGAACAAATTTGCCTCAAGAACCCATAACTTCCAGTTATATAGATTTTCCGCCATTTTGAATTTTTTGAAAAACACTTATAATCAATCTCTTCCTAGGAAGTTTGACCGATCTGCATGAAACTCGGTGAACATAATCTAGGGACCAATATCTAAAGTTCCCTCTTGGCAAAAGTTGGAAAACTTACTAAAACTGAGCTTCTATAAGGCAATGAATATTGCGGAGGCCGTGGCTCATCACATAAAGGTGTATAACATCTCAAGGGTTTCACTGATCACCACGCAACTTTGTAGGCATATGACCACACACAATCTGAGGGGACCCCTCCATTATTGACCTGATCAAACAAAATGGGGGCGCTAGAAAGCTAATTTCTTATCTAGATCTAACTGCTATATCGATTTTTTCTAAACTTGGTAGATATGTAGAACAGGATGCCTCAAGGTGACTGGAGAAATTTAACTGTAATTGGCAACTGGGTGGCGCTATAACAACAGAAAAATGCTTAAAAATTGCTAAAATCTGATCAATCGCTGTGGCTCCCCCTGTGGCTGAATGTTTGTTTTTTTTCCTAATTTTTGGTATGACTAAGTCAAGGTATGGTATGCTGTACTCAATGGGTGTGGACTAGTTTCTTAAAAAAGATGAAATAGTGTACAGTCCTAATGTTTTTATGTTGGACTTAAGCTTATTATAAACTACATAACTTCCATTTCTATGCACTTTTTAAATATCAATCACAAAATTTTGGCTTTAATGGCATTTTTTTTTTTTTTTTT